AGTTGGCCTTTATATGACCAGTGTCTCCACAATGGTAGCAACCATGAAACCCGAGCTTGCACTGACCTAAATGTTGCCGCTTACATGTTCCACAAAGACCTTGTTGGTGTGAATGTTGCTCAGCATGACTCTGGCTATGTGAGGATGATGTCCTGAAATTCTGATTCTGGCGAGACTGATTTCCATTTCTCTGAGTACGTCTGAAGGAAGACCCACCACCTGACTGATGTCCGGACCGAGCTGGTGCTAATGACTCCTTATTAGAGGAATCCCTTCCACCTCCACTGGATGTACCATTAAACCTGCCCGTTGTCCGGGCTTTCTTGTTATGCTCTTTTTCTTCTCTCCTTTGTTGTCTGTCTTTTTCTAAGTGCTTGGCAAACCCCACAACAGAGGAGAAGACTGTCATCCCTACTGCTGCAGCTGATGTCGTATCCTTAATGTGGTAAGCTAAACCGCCAACAAACCTGCGAATCTTTGCTCTTTCTGTCTTAACCATGTGAGGAGCATGCTTAGCCAACCTTATGAATTCCATGTAGTACTCTTGCACACTTTTATTCCCTTGCTTGAGCTGTTCGAACTCTGTAGCCTTAGCTTCCCTATCCTCTTCTGGGATGAAGTTAGCCATGAAGGCCTCTTCAAATTCTTCCCAAGTAGGCGGACCATCATCTTCATCTCTTTCCTTTTCTCACATCTCAAACCAAGCGCCGGCCACATCTCTAAGCTGGTAAGCAGCTAGCTCCACAGCTTCATCATCAAATGCTTTCATCACTCGGAGGGCTTTCTTGACACCCTCCAGCCACAACATCGGATCTTCATCAACTATAGAACCATGGAACGCTGGAGGACTCAACTTCAAAAATTCATTCACGCTTGAGGACTCAGAATTGTTCTGTCTATTTGATTGAGGTGGAATCTCATCTCTTCTCTCGTTCTGGTTGGCCATAAAGGCTTTAAACATCTCCATAGCACTGTTGACAGCATTAAACATCTGACCCACATCGGGAGATATAGTTGCCTGAGCCGGAGCTGCTATTGGGGGCGGTACTGGATCCTGAGGTACTGGATCATTATGCTCCACCCCTTTTTCATGTTCAACCCGGGGTACTTGAACCCCCTTTGTGGATTTACTCTTCCTTTTCTGAGTTGAAGCCCTTTTAGTTCTGCCTTGAGCCACAATAGTAGCAATAGTTTCTTGAGCAGCACCCTGAGTGTCAGTGTCAGAGCTGCGAGTACGAGCCATTTCTGTGAGTTTTAAAGAAACGAATACATTAGATAGTTTTTTAGAGGTAGGATCTACAACACGATCTAAAGTATGAAAAAAATTGAGACTTTTCCTAAATGCTTGTAGCCTCTTGTTTATAAGTATGACGCGCTTCATACCCATAAACAAAAATCTACTAACACGGCTTCATAGACCCCTAGGACTCCATAAACCTGAGGCTCTGATACCAAGTTTGTCACGACTCATTTTCTGAACAAGCCGAGACAGGCACTCGATCACTAAACATGACCGAGCGAACCATCTCTGCTTATCAAATCTATTATAGCTCCAAACTTTATATGCAACAAGGCAATACTCCAACCAAATACTTTTGATTAATTCAAATATTTAAATAAATCAACTCCAACACTTTATTCGTAGTAACTACTGAATTACTGCTAAGTTATTATAAAAAAAACATCTGAATCTCAACCCAATGACTATGTCTATGAAGCCTCTACAGATAAACTGACGCACTGCTCATGACATAAGATTTCCTGGACAGTTCTCTAAGTAAACAAAGAAATAACTAAATAAAGACGACTCTAAGGAATACTCCACGAACAAAAGCGGAGCTCACCAATAGCACTAAAAGAGAAGGAAGTCCTAACCAATAGCCTGCTCGCCTGCAAAATCGGTTCCTACGTTGTACCGCGGACCAACGTAGGTTCCCAAAAGAGAACGTCAGTACCATCCATTGTACTCAGTGAGTCTCAACAATAGGGGGCGAAACTTTAATAACATATATATTACGAGCAAATGTTCTAAATGCATGTAAAACATAAGGCTTATAAGAATAGTTCTAAATAATTGCATAATAGCAGTTTATGAATATTCTAAAAGAAATTCTTTTCTTTTTCTTTCTTATAAAAAAAATATTTCACTTTATACTTTGGGAGTTCCAACTATCCTGACTTAATTTTGTCTCAGTCACCGTGTGATCGACACGGGTTCGATCCCAACCTGATCGAATAGGCCCAATCCACGAGGTGCCACTCGCTTCATGGTTCTCAGCGCTCATATATCATACCTTAGCATGGCTAAGTAAATTCTCGGCAACGAGGCCCTCGTCTCGTGTGCTCCCTACTTTGGCACAAGTAGTTTCAGGAAGTCAACGCCTTGGTCAGGACCCTCTGCCTGGACGATGACCCCTTCTCAGAATAAAGGATACTCCACAAAAATCTTTTCTTTCTAAAACTTCTTCTTGTGACTTTTCAAGTATAAATCTTTCAAACATACTCATTCTGGAATCCTTAAACGTAAGATATGGCATAAGAATGAAATAAACATTCAAATGTATTTCTAAAGATTCTTGCTTCTTCATGATTTTTTTTTTCAATATGAAAATGGCCTATAAAAATTACACAAAAATATGAAAATTTACAGTCTCCACAACACGCACGCAGCAACGTAACAGCTCTACACCTTCAAATAATGAATGAAAGTACAAGCTTTTGGGAATTTCTGTTTTTTGCAATATTTATATTAGTTTCTTGATAGATGTTGCAAGAAGTACTGCCATTCAATTGCATTCATTCATTAGTTCTGCATTACAAGAAAATACGCCAAAGACATGGTATTTATATATAGGACATGCATGTTCATTGGAGTAACTAAGTATCGTAGAATCTTTTGATGTATACAATTTAAGCACTAAAATAATTCTAAGCTAATAGGTACTCACCCACTCCAATTAAGTAAATATAAACTCTTTTAGTCAATTCATCGAACACCTTGTATGCGTGCCTTTGTGAGTTAAACCACTTTAGTAAAGGGTTATATCAACTCACCTCAAAACTCCTTGAGCCAATACGTAGATCCCAGTCCAATTTATACACGTCAAATAATTGATTCCACAACAACAAGTGTATTTTAATTAATTTTAAGGTTTCACACCTAAACATGGAAATTATTGTTGCTATAGAGAAAGAAGGGAATTGACTATTTAATTCTTACCTACTACTACTTTAGGATAATTGAAAATAAGAAATTTTATATACCCGAGTTCATATAATTTTCTTGTCTTCGTAAACAAACTTGCTGCCTCTGTTTCTTATTGTTACGTGAATGATAGAAGTTTAAGCCTTCTGTTTTGTGCCTGACTTGTCTAAGGCTTTTTGAGCCCTTTTATTTTCCTTTAGTCCAAGGCTTAAGCCTTTACTTCCCTACGTACAGACTACTTTATGGGCCTTAGGCCCAATTTTAGGTGTCTTTTTTTTTTTGACTTAACTAGTATTTAGCTATACCCACTATTAATAATATAATATATTAAAATTAATAATATTCCCCTAATTGTAATATCCAATTATTTATAAATAGAGAAGTAACACAAAATCAATCACAAGGTTTTTAATCCGTAATAGGTGTATAATTTAAGATTATAAAAATTAAGTTCCATATTTAGCGGGTCTTGAAACTTTTATAGATTTGAGGAGTGTTACACATATGAAGAATAAACCTGCAATATATTACTAAGAAAAAGGACACTGAGTAGAATTACTATATAAGGTAGGGTAAAAGATAAAATATGATTATTTACTAATAAGGAAGGGCAAGATCAGAGAAAAAGCAAGGAAACGACGCGACCATACCAAATTCGTCGTTCCATAAAGTAGCACTTTTCGTCATTACGTAACGATGGATTTAACGATATGATAAATTAAAATTTAAGTAATAATCAAAACAAACAGTGTATTTTAAGTAATAATACGATACAGTACAATAGGTAACAACCATCCAAACAAGCTGTAAAAAAAGAATATCGGTAATTAGTTCACACCAGCAATGGCAAGCAGGGTGTTCATGGTTCGGTTTGGATCGGTTTTTTTTCTAAAAAGAAATCAAACCAAGTAAGTCGATTTTTCAAATATTGGAACCAAACCAAACCAAAAGTCGATTTATTATCGATTCGATTTTTGTCGGATTTCCGATTTTTTCGGTTATTTATCGATTTTTTCTTAAATATGAGATATACACTACCAAACATATTTCCGATGACTACATTTTTAACGTAACACTATCAAATCAATTGCTCATTGAGAAATCTATCATTAATCAAGATATATTGATGATAATTGAATCAAATGATGAATAATTTAAGGACTCAATAAAAATTATAGGAGTATTATTTTTAACATGAAATAGATTCTTGTACTTAGCAAAAGAAACCTATCAATCAAACTAGAATGTAAAGGCAAAGAGCTAGATTATTATTATAATAGCAAAGAACTAGACTAAAAGTGCAAACAATTATTAACATGTACCATAAAAATTTGTATAAATATATATATATATATATATATATATATATATATATATATATATATATATATGTATGTATGTGTGTGTGTGTAATAATAATTTTGATTAGCTATATCTATAGTCGGTTTAATTCGATTTGTATTCGATTATTTTTTGATTAAGATTAAAATTAAATCAAATTTGATCGATTTTTATAATTCAAAATCAAATAAAATAAAAAAAGTATTCATCTTTTTTGATTGGTTTGATTTTGTTTTGGATTTGGCTCGGTTTTTTCGGGTGAACACCCGTAGTGGCAGGAAACCAGATAATTTATCAGATGCTAGGCTTAGCATCTAATTTGACTTTTATGCCCTCTTTATTACTGAAATGATGTTCTTTTCTCATATAAAAAGTTCCTTTTGCGGGGTACATTGGTAATTATAGTGGTCTTATGTTCCATAGAAAAATGCGTTGCTACTTAAGTAACCATAATGCCATTCTCTCTCAAAACAGACGTTTCAACGCTTCTCTCCATTTTGATTCCAGTTTTCTCTACTCTTTGCTGTATTTCTGAGTTCTGGTGAGTTATCTTTTCTGTATTTCTGAGTTTTCGTGAAATTTCTTTGATGTATATCTGAGTTTTAGTGAGTTTTCGTTGCTGTATTTTTGAATTCTGGTGAGTTTCGTTGCTTTTTGTTGATAATGGGAATTTGGTGAGTATCCTGTGGTTATAACTGTTGTTTGTGGATAGTTTTTATTGCTGGATTTTGTACATCCATGTCTATTAACATGTTTGATCTAGCTTGGGAAGCCAAAAAGGTTTTTCTAAAAATTAAAAAAAAAAAATACTTGTTTTAGAGAGTGAGATATTTGGACAAACTTTAGGAAAAGAAGCACAAATTATTGTTCTAATATTGGCAAATATATTTTTCAAATTGATTAGCCAAACACAAAATTTTACTTTTAAAAAGTACTTTTTTTTTTGAAAAGCACAAAAAGCATTTTGCAAAATAAACATTCTAGAAGCTTGGTCAAATATGCTATTAAAGTTGAATTTGCATATATAAAAATAGTGTAGATAAATAGGTGCATGTTTAGAATATACTATGTTTTATGATTTTGACCGCTTAAGATAAGTAATTTAAAGGTGAATTGAGCTCCTTGCAGGAGACTATTGGAAGTGAAAATGGAACTAAAAAAAAAGAAAAACCAAAATTGTTTTGTTTGTGTGTGTATGTGTGTGTGTGTTTTCCTTTCTCTGTATTTTTATTACTGTTGCTATACGGCAGTAAATGTTCATGATGTTTTTTTTTCTTTTGGCTGAAACCCCAACTCCCTAAAGAGTAAAGAGCATAATAAGAGAATCTAGAGTCAAATGACGAGACATTGATTCTTTGGGTGGTTCTAGGTTTAGATAATCGCACTGGGTTTTAGTATAAACTTTTTGCAACTCTTAGTTGCTTTGGGAGCCAACAAAAGAGTGTTAGTACGTTGGGTTAGTGATCCATTTTAATGAATGTGCCTACCATGTCTTTTTTTTTTTCTTACAGTTTGCCTTTGAGACCAGAGGCGGATCCAGTATTTAAACTTAATAGATTCAACTTTACATTGAACTCATTGTACTGTTAAAATTATGAGTTAAGATCTAATATTTGTTGAGATTTTAGTATTCCGTGACAAAAGTTTCATGTTCAGATGAGCCCATGCCAAAAGGCCACATATGCCTCGGCTTTGGACTGGATTGTGATTGAAAGAATAAACTGATTTTCTAGTTTCGTTTGCATGTCAATCTTAGCTCCTATGATGATACCAAAAAATCAATAAAAAGGACAGTTGAGGTGAGTAGAAGTTGAACTTTGTTTAAGATAGCAGGTTTCATCACACGAAATTTCCGGTTAACATGTCATAGAGGACTTTTGAGTAGAGTCTTCCTTTCAGAGGCACATTGAGTGATACTTAAGAACTTAGGAAACCTGAAATATGGTAATAACAAGAAAAGTTCATTCATGATTCAACTGTTAATTCTGGATAATTAGGTGTGCAAGTGCGTTTTAAGAAGTTATGTGTTTTGATAGGTTGGACTTCTCCTCCTATGGTTAATAAGTAGGATTCTGCATGATAGCTTTGACTCCTGCTGAAAGTAGTGGGGTTATATGTAGTTTGAGTATGATTTTTTTCAATAGCTAGCTTGTGATAAATATGCAAAATCCCTTCCTTTCCTTGCTGGACTACTCTTATGTAGTTTTTCTCCGTCATTCTAGCATATGTGTTTTGATCTTTTCAGTTTACTCTCTTGGTTCAAAGCTCCATCTTTCCACTTCATTCAATGTAATTTGACATGCTGTCATATATGCTTTCACCAATCGAGGATCTAAGTACAGCTAAAAAGAGATGGAAGCAACAATTGTAAAATCTGAATCTTCAAACAAGAGATAAAACCATCAATATCTTAAAAAGAAAAACAGAAAGATAAGTCCCCCTCTCTCTTTTACGGAGGAGTAGCTTTTCTGTCAAAGATGATTAAACAAAATAGGAGACTGGATCTAACTTGAGAAGCCTTTCCCTCTGGCAGTAATATTTCTCACTTCCCAGCATATGGATTCCTCTTTTAGATATGACGTCAAAGCTCGGAACAGTATCTTAAAGCTTTTCAGACAACAAAAGTATTATCACAAAATTTAAAGGTTGAAAAAGAAAGATAAAAGCCATACTTGGTGGTATAAGTTATAAGAAAGAAGTTAACCCCCATTTCTCCTAGGATTTTGTAGTTCAAAGTTCAAACCTAGAGTTCTCATTTTCTATGTCAATTTTTGGCTTTCTTGCTTGGTTCTGGAATCATCTACTGTAAGATCAAATGACAAATGTCATTTTTGGCTTTCTAGCTCGGATTGCTGCAACTTAGGTTTATACACTAAATGCTAGGTTAGTACTAGGGGGTTCACTGGTCCTCTTTAGTTTCTAAAAATTGAGCTTCAGTTCTATAATAATTGATATCCCTAAATAAGACAGTAGGAGTAGTAAGTTAAATATTTAAATAAGAACATAAGAATCAGAATTTGGAAATCTCTGAGCTCGATCAAATCTTGGCGACATGGTAGTCACTGAAGCTGAACTCACTGTTTTCTACCCTAGTTAGAGGAACATGGGAAGAAAAGTTTAGGGAGGTCAAAGACGCAATTCCATAATAATTATTAAGTCTGTATAAAGTTTTACATATTTGTTTCTTATAAACATATCTTAATTTAAAATATTTTCTTGAAAGCAGAAAGCTTGAAACCTCAAATGCACATCCATATCCACTTTTTGCCACTTCTACAAGAATCACATTCGTGTTGCTTCAAAGTTTCACAGTGCGGGATAGTTCCAAAGAGGCTCCTATTATCCTTAGCTGCTTGAGGCATATAATGTTTAGTGTAGGCTTTTTGGTGGGTTGGGTCAAATTTCTTATGCTCTAACCTCATTATGAGTTCCCCCAATTTGAATAAACTTCAAATTTGGGAAAGACTAATAGATATATGCAGCAGGAATTTTTAGGAGGAGGATTCTCTCTTTATTAAAAGGAATCTTTTGTGTTTTTCTTTTTTCTGCTTCAATGGAACTCCATTTTTGTTATGTTATCAAAGAATTTGAAGTTTAATTTTGTAATTTAGAGTTTCTGTTCATATATAGAAATGGAGTGCCATGTGACAATTGTGAAAGTGCAGTTCTTACAAATATGTTAGTTAAATGAGTGTATAGGCAATGGTTTGCGTGCTTTAATTCTTGGAAGCCTCATATTCTTCTGATTGTTTTAACTTACAATTTCACTATCTGTTCTCTTCCTTTTCCTTCAATGCCCGAGTTGTCTCTGCTTGGTTAAGTGTAAAGCGTATTAACTCCAGTTTGATTTGTTAAATAAATCCTATGGGAATGAACAGATATTTGAAGTTCAACAGAAAGTCCTTTTGAGAACCCAAGAGAAGTGCCTATTGCCTTGGTTTTTTCCAAGTTAAGAATATCTGCATTAGTATTCATTGCTCGCTGTTGTTTTATAGAGCCTCAATTCGTGTTCAAGCTAACATATTTGTGAATTATTTCAGAGAAAAACTATGACTCGATTGGTGAGAAGCAAGGTATCTACTGATGCGAGGAAGTCTTTCATCTGTGACTTACCAACTGAGATATTACATAAAATACTAGAGCACATGCCTATCCAAGATGCTGCAATAACTAGCACCTTATCAAAGCGGTGGAACCAGATGTGGTCCACACTACCACACCTTGTGTTTGATAGCCAATTTCTTGATTTTGCATTTAACTATTCATTTGACTCTGAATTTGACGCAGGAGTGGGTAATGCTGCAAGGATAATCAATACAATTCTCTTGCAGCATACTGGACCTATTCTCGGTTTCCATTTTATGTCAAATGATGATTATATGGCAAAGTATTTGGATCCATGGATCATCTTTGTCTCGAAGCATGGTATACAGAAGCTCACCATACATTTGCCCAATGGCAGTTGTTTATATGAATTGCCTTATGGCATAATGACTTGCTCATCATTGACACATTTGGAGGTTTTAGCGTCCACTGTCTTTAGGCCGTCCGATTGTGTCAAATTCCCCAATCTTGTTAGCCTTGAGTTAGTAGACACTCAAATTGAATGTAAGCTAATAGAAGACACTCTTATTTTACCAATGCTTGAGACTTTGAAGTTGATATCTTGCCGTGTTCTTGGTCGTATGCGTTTGGTTGCTCCAAAACTTGAGAACTTAACTATCGATAACATCGATATTGAAAACCTGAACCCAATCGTTACAAGCATTAAGCACCTCAGCTTGGATAGGTTATCCCTAGAGGTCAGAACATATATACCTTGCTTTATTGTCTATGATTTGCAGTTGTTATTTTTGCAAAACAAAGTTATAACTAGAACTAATGTTTTATCTCTCACTCAAATTGCTTTTTTCAGATGTTAGCTGAGTTGTTTCATGTGGCAGCAGATAGGCTTGTTCTACCACAAAACCTGCAAACACTGAAAATATGTGCTTTGGGGATTTCAGTTGAACAATTTTCTGGTGCACTTATCCTGCTTCGTGGTTCATCTAACCTTTATGAACTTGACTTAAGTGTAGCAGTGGAGGTAAGACTTAATTTCCCGACTACGGACATTTAGTTTCTCTTTCCATGTGTCTGGACATTGAACCTTTTGGGTCTATCGGAAATATCCTCTCTACCTTCTCAAGGCAGAGGCGGATGTATAGTTGCAACATCGGGTTCAACCGAACCCAGTACTTTCGACGCAGAACATAAATTTATGTGTAAAAATTTCCTAAAATTATTAATAAATAGTAGGTTTGAATCTATAACTTAAAAATACTATAGGTTCATGGCAAAAAACCTTCAGGGTTGAACCTATAGATCTTAAATCCTTCATGCGCCTCTGTCTCAAGATAGGGGCAAGGTCTGCGTACACACTGCCTTCCCCAGACCCACTTGTGGGATTATACTGTGTTTGCTGTTGTGTCTATGTTCATATACGACACTTCGTGAATGTTGGAAAGGTTGACTTTTGGTGCCAATATGATCTTCTTTAGGTCGACGAGAGTCGCACTACGGAACTGTTTTCTTACTTGTCGACGGCAGAAAGCCATTTGAATGAAGCTTTTAGGATGATTCAGAAGGTGAGAGTAAGGTAATTCAAAGGATCAAGAGCTGAAATGTGCTTAATAAAACTCCTCCTTGCTTATTCTCCAAAACTAGAGAAGATGATCGTTGAACAGTTCAAGAACTGTAATTCTAGTGATTGTATTGAACATCTGAAGGAACTGATCAGCTTTCCTCGAGCGTCAACCAAAGCAGTAATTAAGTATTTATAATCTGCTTCCCTTAAATCAAGGTATAACAAGGTCCAGTTATTTGAATGTTATCAATATGCTAAACAATATACATCAAAGCTATGTTGCACAGACTCTCCAAAATGTTGCCGCACCCGGGTCGGATCTTTTGAAAATAGACTAGTTTTGAAGGATCCGACACGCACCTGGCAACATCTTTGGAGAGTCCGAGCAACATATCATAAAAAGTGTTACTAAAATTTGATTGACATTGCAGGTTACTGATGCTTAAAGCCAGGGGATTCGCTTCTGAAACATGTCGTAGGGAAGCTAATGGAGTAGCGGATGAGTTGGCAAAGGATGCAATTTGAATATTTTTGGGAGCTTAAAGATTTTCACATCCCCTCCTACTTTTGTAATCGCTTTCTTTATTCGACTTTAGAGAAAAAAATTATTGCTTTTTAGTTGTTTATCTAATTAAGTCATGTTATTTCTTTGGTGGTTTTTGTATGTTGCTCTAAGTTTAATAGTCTAAGGAGCTTTTATACTTTCAATTTAAAGAATTATTGCCGTTATTTTTTCACACTATATATTAGTTTGACTTAAGATTTTAGTACTGTTTAGTTAATTTTTCTTTTAGTCAGAAATCAAACTATTTTGGACTAATGCTGAAAAGTGAAGACACTTTCTTGCTCCACGTTTTACTGTTTCCATTCATTGGTTAATGGTACACATGCCAGTATCAAGTTTCGAATTCGTTAAAAGCAATAACTATTAGAGTATTTTTTCTTTTAAGTTGCCAAAATTTTCATACATCTAATACCCAATTGGACTATGTTGGCCCAAGAACAAGTGAAGTTTTGAAGATTGACAAAAGAATTCAGACATGGACCAGGTCCATCTTGTGAAGCACAGTCATGATCTATATGCACATGTGAGATGCACGTGAAGGAGATAAGTCTAATTGATCGAGCAGCAATATCTCCTGATCTGATCGAAAAGGTTGCATATTGGATAAGGAGAGAAAGACTCCTTACATAAAGAGAACACAATCTAGGATAAAAATAGTGTTAGAGTTTGAGATCATCATGAACTCTTCTACGATAGAAGAGCAGCAATTGAATCTCAGTCAAACTCTGATCACTAACCTATTAAATGTCAGTGTTGTTTTCTTTTACAGGTAATGCACACAAGCAGAAGTTAAACTTAAATTGAGAGTAAAAGAGCAAGGCGATTTTGCAAGCAATTTATGTGTGATTCGAATGTGCAATCCTGAAGCTACTTGAACGAGATAGAAGAACCAGTTCCTAGTGTCTATCTTTTATTCTAGTTCAATTGTAGTAGGTGATTTTACATTGTACCTTTCAGCTTTCATAGAAGCAATTGTATTAGGTACCTAGAGTGTTCAAGTTAGAGTTAACTTGAAGTTGTCGCAACAGTTGAGGCTGTGTGCCACAACGGGATTAGAGTTAATCCTTAGGTTTACAAAGAGTTTTTGTAAATGCTGTTTTGGCTCAGTGATTTTAGTGGAAGTTTGAGAAAATCCTACTGAGTAGTAGGTCGTGGTTTTTTCACCTTTTGAGCAAGGTGTTTCCACGTAAAAATCTCTGTGTCCTTTATTTTATGTATTTATTACTCCGCAAACAGCAGTAGTTGGAACACCTAGAAGAACCAGGTTCTCCTATTGCGAAAATTGAGTACCACACAAATCACCCCCCTCTTGTGTGATGTTGACGCTTAAAACATCAATTGGTATCAGAGCAGGTTATCCTTGAAGAGGTTAACACCTTAGGAAAAGATCAAGATGAGTGCACCACCTGGAAACTGGGAAGGGTAATCCGCTGCTAGGCCTCCACTCTTTAATGGTCAGTATTATTCTTGGTGGAAAAACAGGATGAAAGATCATATCATTGGAGAAGACTATGAACTTTGGGACATAGTCACTGATGGTCCCCTGGCAACTATGAAGAAGAATGATGAAGGAGTGGACGTGCCAAAGACAAGAGCTGACTGCACTGCTGATGACTTGAAGAAATGGGAGAAGAATGCCAAGGCCAAGAAATAGCTTGTGTGTGGACTGGGTCCAGACGAGTACAACAGGATTCAAAGCTGTACCACTGCTAAGGAGATATGGGACACTTTACAAGTGGCTCATGAAGGAACTTCTCAAGTAAAGAGATCAAGGGGAACACTGCTATATTCTCAATATGAGAACTTTACTATGAAGGAAGGAGAAACTATTCAGGAGATGTACACAAGGTTTACAACACTAACAAATGAACTTAAATCTCTTGGGAGAATTATCCTTGAAGAAGACAAGGTTGATAAGATATTGACAAGGGTCTTACCAGTAACTTGGGAAAGCAAAATCACTACTATTCAAGAATCAAAGAACATTGCTACTCTCAAGTTGGATGAACTTATTGGAAACCTTACTGCCTATGAACTGAGAAGGCAAACCATGAAAATGGATGCACTAAAGAAGGAGAGGAGTCTGGCTCTCAGAATAGCTGAAGGTGCAGATCTGGAAGATGATGAAATGGCCATGATTACACGGGATTTCAAAAAGTACCTAATGAAAGGAAAGGGTTCTTCAAGAGGTACAACCTTCAACAAACCAAGGGCTCCTGAGAAACAAACTAATGAGGGTTGTTACAAATGTGGCAAGACTGATCACATGATCAAGAACTGTCCTCAATGGGAAATTGAATGGAAGAAGGAAAGGGCTGAACGAAGGAACAGGAAGAAGGAACAGGTTCAACCCAAAAGGAACAAAGGATCAACAAAGCTATGGTTGCTGCTTGGGGAGAAACATCAGATGAGGAGTCAGAAGATGAAGCTGGAGATGAACAAGCACTTATGTCCATCGGAGAATCAGATGATGAACAAGAGGTAAATGACCTTCATCTTAAAGACAAAATTAAATTTCTGTCTAAACAAAGGTTGTCTGAACTATTGTTAGATTTCATTGATGAGTCTGAGATAATTAACAATGAGAAAGAAGATTTGTCTAGGGAGTGTGTGATCTTAAAAGCCAAGTGTAAAAAACTAGAATCTAGGGCAAATGAGAGTGACAGTAAAAATGCTGAGTTGAAGAACCAGGTTCTTGAACTTGACACCAGTGTCTTAGAGCTTAGGTCTGAGAATTTAAAACTGAAATTAGGAACAGGTAAGAAGAAAGTTGATCACACACATCTCACCTTTAGAAGAAAACTTAGGAAAAATGAAGGGTGAGTTGTACAGAAAGTATGAGCAGATAAGAATCTTAAAGGAAGACCTAGGAAAGGTAAAGCATGAACCGGACAGAACTTGCAAATGGAATAAGGCTTCTGATGCACTTTCCTGGCTACAAGAACATCACAGTAGCAAAAAAAGAAGACTTGGCTATGGGACTCAAGCACCTAAGTGGGACCCTAAAAGCAAGTACCTTACTCTTCCTGAAAATAAAATTTGCACACACTGTAGCAAGACTGACCATTACAAAAATGAATGTAATGCAAAAGAAAAGGCCAGTCAAAAGAACAAAGCCTTTGTTCAAAAGAAAAATAGGCTGCCTGGGTGGGCTAAAAGGAATTTGATTTACCTCTTTGCCTATAGAAAGGGACCCAAACTAGTTCAGGTTCCTAAGACTAACCCCTGATTTCTTTTTGCAGGTTCAAGTGAAGGGAAGTAGCCAAATATGGTACATGGATAGTGGCTGCTCAAAACATATGACTGGAAGCAAGAACCAGTTCCTTTCACTTGAAGACTTAAAAGGAGGTAATGTCTCCTTTGGAAATGGGAAGAAATGTGAGATTATTAGGGTTGGAAAGGTAGGTAAGACAGACTCTCACTCCATTGAGAATGTATACTTGATAGATGGCTTGAAGTATAGACTAATCAGTGTGTCACAACTGTGTGACAGAGGTAACCTTGTAGCATTTATCTCCACCAAATGCTTTGTGATTAACCTTACCACTGACAGGATTGTTTTGCGGGGAAAAAGAGTTAACAATATTTACATTGTAGATTTGTCTACTCTTTCAGAAAATGAACTCACTTGCTTAAGTGTGTTGGATAATGATCCCCTCATGTGGCACAAAAGACTTGGTCACGCAAGTCTGAATCAACTCAACAAATTAGTCTCCTAGGACTTGGTGATAGGGCTACCTAACATCAAGTTCAAGGAAGACAAAGTTTGTGAGACCCGTGCAAGGGGGAAGCAAGTAAGATCATCCTTTAAAAGCAAGAAAATGGTAAGCACAACCAGGACGTTGGAACTGGTTCATATGGATCTTTATGGTCCAATGAGAACATTGAGCAGAGGTGGTAAGAAATATGTGATGGTACTTGTTGATGATTACTCTAGGTTTACCTGGGTGCTATTCTTAACATCTAAAGATGAATCATTTGACAGGTTTACTGCTTTTGTTAGAAAGACTCAGAAACAACTAGGTAATCAACTTGCATCCATTAGGTCTGATCATGGAACTGAATTTGAAAATGCTAAGTTTGCTGAATTTTGTGATGAGCATGGTATAGATCATAACTTCTCTGCACCCAGGACCCCTCAACAAAATGGAGTAGTTGAAAGAAAGAACAGAACTCTTGAAGATATGGCTAGGACAATGCTTCTTTCTAGTAAACTGCCTCATAGTTTCTGGGCAGAGGCTGTAAACACTGCATGCTACATCATCAATAGGTGCATGACTAGACCTCTTGTAGAGAAGACTCCCTATGAATTACTTAAAGGGAGAAAGCTAAATATATCCCATCTTAGGGCATTTGGATGCAAGTGCTTTGTGCACAACAATGGAAAGGACTCCCTAGGTAAGTTTGATCCCAGAAGTGATGAGGGAGTATTCTTGGGATGTTCTTCACATAGCAAAGCATATAAAGTGTTCAATAAAAGAACTTTGTGTGTAGAAGAAAGTGTTCATGTAGTGTTTGATGAAACTAACATTCTTTCTGAGAGACAGGAGCATGAAGATGAGGCTATTGGGCTGGTAAAAGATTTGACTGAAGTCTCAGCACAAGTTAAAGTGGCACCAAAAGAAGAAACAAGTGATGGAACAGGTTCTTCCATCCACGGCATCCTGATAGGGGGAAATGATCAAATAGGAACCGAAACCAATCTCCTAAAGGAACCTGTTCATGACCCTGTTCCTCAGCAACAGAACATGGGAGAAGCATCTACCAGAAATCAGTTGGTTGTGATATCTCACAAGTATCAAAGTTCTCATCCTATTGAGAACATACTTACTGATCCAACCTCTAGAGTCAAAACTAGATCACAATTAAAGAATCTGTGTGCTTTTGATGCTTTCCTATCTCTTATTGAACCTAAAAATATTGTTGAGGCTTTGCAAGATGCAGATTGGGTAAATGCAATGCAAGATAAACTCAATCAGTTCGAGAAAGGTCAAGTTTGGAACCTAGTTCCAAGACCCAAGGACAGATCAGTCATTGGCACAAAATGGGTCTTCAGAAACAAACTTGATAAAGATAGAACAGT